CTCACTATTCTTTACTATGCTGAATCTGTGCTCTTAGCCTAATACAGGGGGTGATAGTTCTACTGTACAAATCATCTCCAGCTTCCTTTTGCCAATTCTGGCCAGCTAAAGGAACAGTGCCCCCATAATTATGTATATCAGTAAATTTTGTCATTGTCTCCCCCTCAAGGAATTGATGGACTGTTGTGATACACCAACTTTTTTTTCTTTTACACCACTTGGAAGTGCTCCTAGGAGACTGTGACTCTGAGGCAAACATTAAAGGTTCTTCAGTTGCTAGGCCTCATAAGCTGCAGAACCTGGTGGGTCCCAATATGCACTTGGTGAATTGCCTCCAAATGCCATACTCTTCCCAGTTCCCTCAGACACACTGTCTCCCAGACCCTCTTTTCACCAACATCTTTCCAGCTGCCATAAAATCTTCCCTCCTTCAATTGACTTGATTTCTCGACTCATCCATCACAGCTGATATTACTAGAATTTATTCCCAGACAAAAAATGTTAAGCAGGAGGGTGCATAACAGTGATTTAAAGGTAATAAACACTGTAAGTATTTTGCAATCATCCCCAAAACAAACTTTCTGAATAGAATGTTCAGAATTCAGGATAAACTTAAAGGAAATCTAAACATATTAAGATATGGAAATGCACAGTTAATGCACCCAAACAACATAACTCTTTCCTATAGTGATACCAGGCAATAACTATAAAAATCATTGATGCATTTTAATGCTTGTTGTTCCAGATTAGATTAAAGTGATTTTAAAAGATGTGTTAGATTTGTTTAATCTTTTTCCCCCCCTCCACATATCACTACAGGGTCAAGGAAGGCTCTTTGTGTGCTGTACCTGGGCGTTCCATGTTTCAAGATTTATCTCTGCCAAGTTTTGCATAGATAGATAATACATGAATTGAAAACATTTAAGACAAAAAGGGCTGACTGAGAGTGCTAAATTTTTTATGTAATTTTAACTCATGTTAATGGATTTACTTGTAAATGCTCAGACAATTCATTCAATACTCAAAGAGTAAATGCTGTAATTTTGGGGGAAGATGCAGAGTATTCTTCATACAAATACAAAAAGTTTAAATTCTTGTTTGAAGAGCAAAACTCCACTCAACCTTAATTATATAGTCATGACCACAATTTATTATTAATTTACCATTACTACTATTAACATTTTAAAACATGTTGCAGTAAAATTGTGTGATTTTCATATACAGGCCTGTATTACAGAAAAGATCAGTTTTTATGCCACAAAAATGTTTTTTTGATTTTTATTTTTTGGAGGATCATGAAAACATACCCTTATGAGAGCTAAATATGTTCCATGAAAAATTATTTTATGAACAATAATTTTGTTTTGTCTTAAGGTTGATGCATTAAGAACAAATTGTTTAGAAACTGACTAATCTTCAAGCGTCCTATTTAAATTTCAAAATTATATTGCCATGATTTTCTTTTCACTTCAATTATTTTCAGGTTCTCAACCTGTTCATTGCACTACTGCTGAACTCCTTCAGTGCTGACAACCTCCAAGCACCTGAAGATGATGCAGAGATGAACAACCTTCAGATTGCATTTGCTCGGATCCACAAAGGACTTCGCTTGGTGAAACACGCAACATGGGATTACTGTTGTGGAAAGCTCTGGCAACCAAAGAAAATCACCAAAAAGAAAATGAAATTGGCTGCTGAGAACACATGTGTGGAGATTGGGAAAGAAGGGAAGAATTGTAAAGAAAATCACAGTGACAATGTGACTGAGAAGAATGGAGAGAAATGCTCTGTTAGCATTCTTGAAGATTTTATCACCAACTCCAACATGTTTGTCTGCGTCCCTATTGCTGAGGCAGAATCTGATAGCGAGGACTATGAAGATGACGATAATAATTCAAGCAAATTCACAGAAATGGAATACAGTAAACAGGTAAGAAGCCTATTCAGGAGAAGATGTTTGAGACTACAGGCTCTTTAATGGAGCTGGCAAAGGCATAGCATGATCCAGCTGCAGGAAGATGAATTTAGAAAAATTCAAAAGAGAACTAAAGTGTAATTTTTCAAAAGTGAGGGTAATTACCCATTGGAAGAATTTACCAAAAAGTATGGTCAATTTTCCATCTCTTGGAGTCCCTGTGGGTCTTCCACTTCAGGTATCAGGGCATCCTGGCGACATCAATCAGAGATTTACAGTAGCAGTGTCAGCGTGGGTCGCAGGGTGCCATTGGTGCCGTGTCTAGCGTACACACAACCCGAGCCCTCCAGTTCCTTCTCAACTGTCCTCAGCTGAAGACAGAGCCCTGGGGCAGTGTTCATCACTCTTCCAAACCTTTCAGAAAAAAATAATATAATTAGTTAGTTAGTCATATAGAAAGTTATAGTTAATGTAGCGTTAGTTTTTATTAACCCCCCCTTTGCCAAAAAAGTTTACTTTTTATGTTTATCCTCCCCACACTGGGGGGGAGGGGGTTAACCATTAAGATGCCTGGCTCCCCAGGCTTTAAGCAATGCGGCTCCTGCCACGAAGCAATGCCCATTTCGGACTAACACTCTTTGTGTGTTCATGTTCTTGGGGAGGCGCACATCCCACAAAAATGCGCCCACTGTAGCAATCTGAAAACGAGAGCCCAGCATGACCAGGATCTCAGACTCAAAATGATCTTGATGGAGAAATCTCTCCAAACTGAGCCAGACCAACGGACCTTCTCTCCGGGTACGCCCCCTACAGGGACAGGAGACATGCCTTCCTCTAAAAGACTAAGGAAAAGGGCGCAGAAGTCTCTGAAGAGAGCACCGCAGAAACAATGGTGGTCTCCTGCCAGGTTGCTGTTTAAGTGGGTTGCCAAAGCCAGGTCATCCAGTTGGAGGAAGTGCAGACAAACCAACACAAGCTTGTACAAATCTTACAAGCTGCATCTACTTCCAAAATCACCCTGCCCATCAATGATGCATTTTTGGAACCAGCAGAGACAGTCTGGCAAACACTGGCCTCAATTTGGCCGACATGCAAAAGGGCAGATAGAAAGTATTACATCCCTGCCAAAGGGATGAACTTCCTGTTCTCACACTTGCCTCCGAACTCCTTGGTGGTTGACACTGCTAATAAGCATGGCAAACAATAACAGTTTAGATCGACCCCACAAGAGGCTTGACCTCTTCGGATGAAAAATTTATTCCTCAGTGACATTACAATTCCGGGTCGCCAACTGTTCGGCTTTGCTGGCCAAATACAATTATGATAATTATTGGAAACATAGGTTGTTCACAGTGGTGCTCCCCATGGAGAAACAATCACAATTTCAGGCCATTGTAAGTGAGGGTCAACTTATAGCTAAAACAGCCCTCCTAGCATCTTTGGATGTCGTGGACACAGCAGCCGGAACCACGTCCATAGTCATTTGCCAGGCATCCTGGTTACAGTCCTCTGGCATACCTAAAGAACTCCAAACCTATCATTCAACCAAGAGAAGCTATTTTCAAACAAGACTGATGAGGTCCTGCACTCAGTGAACGATTCTCGAGCCGCTCTTCGCACTTCAGGGATCTACACTCCACCTGCTAAGAAAAGACGATACCAGCTTTATCCGAGGAACAGGGATTCCTCTTCCAACCGATGACAACAGCGTCAATACAAGAACCGACGATATGACCAAGGTTGCAGTGACAGAGAGCACCTCAAGCTCAACCATAGACTTCTCAATCGGCTCCGCCCAGGCCACAATTTTGCAGTTTTGGTCGAGGGTCCAGATGACCTCCCTCACCAAGCAGCACTTTCACCTGATCCGTCCCCATGCTTTGGTCACTGCCTTCACCCATTCTACCACATCTGGGCATCAATAACCACAGACCAATTGGTGTTAGAGATTGTACAATCGGGGTATACCATCCCCTTTACCTCCTGACTACCTCCCCTCCCCATCCCTCTTCAGGGACCCTTCTCACGAGCACCTGTTATGACAAGAAGTCGATCATCTTCTACAACTAGGTGCTGTGGAACGAGTTCCTTTGCAATACAGGGGGAAAGGGTTCTACTCCCACTACTTCTTGACACAGAAGAAGAATGAGGGATGGAGACCTATCTTGGATCTCAGAAAACTCAACAAGGTCATACACACTCAAAAGTTCAAGATGGTGACACTGGGCACGATACTTCCAGTACTGCAAAAGGGGGACTGGTTTTTAGCCCTCGACCTCCAAGATGCTTATTTTAATATTACCATATACCCTTCTCACAGGAAATTCCTGTGTTTCACAGTAGAACACAAACACTTCCAAGAGTTTTCTCCAAAAACCTAGCAGTAGTAGCGGCACATCTATGCAAACCGGAATAATGATTTTCCCTTACCAGGACGATTGCCTTTTCAAAGGCCCAATTTAACAAGAAGCACTGGACTCAGTCCAGATGATGATTGCACAATTCAGGGATCTAGGGCTACAGATAAATGAATAAAAATCCACTCTAATCCCTGTCCAACAACTGGACTTCGTCGGGGCACATCTCGATGCCATAGAAGCCAAGGTATTTCTGCCCCTGAACAGATTCACAACTCTGACAAACCTTATCTCTGAGGTACAATTCAGCACCCAAATACCGGCTCGTACTGTCCAGCAATTGCTAGGACACATGGCAGCCACAACATTTGTGGTACAACACGCAAGACTACATATGTGCTGCCTACAGAGCTGGTTGAGCTCAGTATACATACCCAGCAAGCACAGCCTACACAAGCATCTGACAGTACCACCCCATATCTTGGACTCTACGCTGGTGGACAACACCAGAAAATGTTTGCATGGGCATCCCATTCCAACAAGAACCCCCATTAATACTAATCATGATTGATGCTTCGCTGCTAGGCTGGGGCACCCACATGCATCAGCATATGGTTCAAGGCAAATGGTCTCTTGCCGAGACTCATCATATCAATCTACTAGAGCTATGCACGGTCCACAATGCCTGCAGACATTAGTGCTGTGGAGGCCATCAAGGTTACTGTAATTGATGGAATGTTGTGATACACCAACTTTTTTTATAGAAGTCATTTTTTTAGCAATCGTTTTTATACAGTCGATTGTGTGTCCCCCCACACAAAATGCTCTAAGTGCATTAAGTCGGCGGACTGCGTCCACAGTATCGAGGCTAGCATCGACTTCCGGAGCGTTGCACTGTGGGTAGCTATCCCGCAGTCTCCGCCGCCCATTGGAATTCTGGGTTGAGATCCCAATGCCTGATGGGGCAAAAACAGTGTCGCAGGTGGTTCTGGGTACATGTCGGCAGGCTCCCCCTCCCTCCCTCCCTCCGTGAAAGCAACGGCAGACAATCGTTTTGTGCCTTTTTTCCTGGGTTACCTGTGCAGACGCCATACCACAGCAAGCATGGAGTCCGCTCAGCTCACCGTCACCATACGTCTCCTGGGTGCTGGCAGACGTGGGACTGCATTGCTACACAGCAGCAGCTCATTGCCTTTTGGCAGCAGACGGTGCATTATGACTGGTAGCCGTCATCGTCATACTCCTGGGTGTTTGTAGAGGAGTGGACTCACCCGGCGGCGCCTCCTGCTGGTCTCTTCTGGGAATTAGCTCTTCCAGCGTCCTGGAGCGCCCTCTGCAGGCCAGTGATCCGCCTATCCTCTGGCCCCCGTGTCCCTCCCTGGATCCCGGTGCCCTTTTACCTGGGATGCTGCCTCCTAGCAGTAACCCCTCAGTCTTAGGGTCTCCCCTCCCCAGGGAACCCCCACCCACTATTCCCATCTCGCCTCAGTATAAGGCTACTGCCAGTCATCGTCTGGCCCCATGCCCTGGGGCAGACTGCAGTATCAGCCTACTCACCACTGGCAAGGTTGGGTTTGGACCTGCTGCCTTGGCCTACCCCTGGGCTGCCCTCTGCAACCCCTAGTAGCCTTGGCCTTCTGCTAGGCCGCAGCCTGGGGCTTTCCAGGATGGGGCTTTCCAGGCTGGAGCTCCCCAGCTCCTCAGCCTGTCCCCAGCCCTGCTCCACTCAGGTACCCTGTCTCTAGCTCCCTGCAGCCAGGCCCTTCTCTCTCTGAATGCAGAGAGAGACCTCTGAGCTCCTGGCTCCCAGCCTTTATATACAGGCCAGCTGTGGCCTGGTTGGGGCGTGGCCCGGCTGCAGCCGCTTCCCCAATCAGCCCAGCTTTTAGAGCTGCAGCCCTCTTTCAGGGCTGGTTTCAAGCCCTTCAGGGCAGGAGCAGGTGTCCACCCCGCTACAGTGCTCTTTTAGCCGACCTCGATGAGGTCGGTCAGGGGCGCCTGGGCAGACATGGGAGTGACTCAGCCAGGTCATTCCCTTTTTAAGTTTCATCTCCTGGAGACTCAGTCCTGCCGGCAGTCGTACTTCACCGTCTTCTGGCGAGCAGCCAGGATATGACGATGGCTAGCAGTCATACTGCACTGTCTTCTGGCGAGCAGCCAGGAGATGACGATGGCTAGCAGTCGTACTGCACCGTCTGCTGCCAGCCTAAGATGTAAAAGATAGATAGAGTGGATCAAAACATGAAATAGACCCGATTTGTTTTGTATTCATTTGCTCCCCCCTCCCTCGCTCCTTCCTTCCCTCCGTGAAATCAACGGCCTGCTAAATCCAGGGTTTGAGTTCAATCCTTGAGGGGGCCATTCTGCGTGACAGTTGTTTGTGTTTCTCCTTGATGCAAAACCACCCTCTTTTTGATTTTAATTCCCTGTAAGCCATGTCGTCAGTTGCCCCTCCCTCCGTCAGAGCAACGTCAGACAATCGTTTCGCGCCTTTTTTCAGCGCAGACGCTATAGCACTGGGATCATGGAGCCCGCGCAGATCACCGCGGCAATTATGAGCACTGTAAACACCACGTGCATTATCCTGCAGTATATGCAGAACCAGAACCTGCAAAAGCAAAACCAGGCGAGGAGGTGACGGTAGCGCGGTGACGAGAGTGATGAGGACATAGACTTCTCACAAAGTACGGGCCCCAGCAATGTGCACATCATGGTGTTAATGGGGCAGGTTCATGCCGTGGAACGCCGATTCTGGGCCCGGGAAACAAGCACAGACTGGTGGGACCGCATAGTGTTGCAGGTCTGGGACGATTCCCAATGGTTGCGAAACTTTCACATGCGTAAGGGCACTTTCATGGAACTTTGTGACTTGCTTTCCCCTGCCCTGAAGCGCCAGAATACCAAGATGAGAGCAGCCCTCACAGTTGAGAAGCGAGTGGCGATAGCCCTGTGGAAGCTTGCAACGCCAGACAGCTACCGGTCAGTCGGGCATCAATTTGGAGTGGGCAAATCTACTGTGGGGACTGCTGTGATCCAAGTAGCCAACGCAATCAAAGAGCTGCTGATATCAAGGGTAGTGACTCTGGGAAATGTGCAGGCCATAGTGGATGGCTTTGCTGCAATGGGATTCCCTAACTGTGGTGGGGCGATAGACGGAACCCATATCCTTATCTTGGCACCGGAGCACCAAGCCAGCGAGTACATAAACTGAAAAGGGTACTTTTCAATGGTGCTGCAAGCACTGGTGGATCACAAGGGATGTTTCACCAACAACAACGTGGGATGGCCGGGAAAGGTACATGACGCTCGCATCTTCAAAAACTCTGGTCTGTTTCAAAAGCTGCAGGAAGGGACTTTCTTTCCAGACCAGAAAATAACCGTTGGGTATGTTGAAATGCCTATAGTTATCCTTGGGGACCCAGCCTACCCCTTAATGCCATGGCTCATGAAGCCATACACAGAAGCCTTGACGGTAGTCAGGAGCTGTTCAACTATAGGCTAAGCAAGTGCAGAATGGTGGTAGAACGTGCATTTGGACGTTTAAAAGTGGGGTGGCGCAGTTTACTGACTCGGATAGACCTCAGCGAAACCATTGTTATTACTGCTTGCTGTGCGCTCCACAATATCTGTGAGAGTAAGGGGGAGACGTTTATGGCGGGGTGGGAGGTTGAGGCAAATCGCCTGGCCGCTGATTACACGCAGCCAGACACCAGGGCAGTTAGAAGAGTACAGGAGAGCGCAGTGCGCATTAGAGAAGCTTTGAAAACCAGTTTCATGACTGGCCAGGCTACGGTGTGAAAGTTATGTTTGTTTCTCCTTGATGAACCCCCCCCCCCCTTGGTTCACTCTACTTCCCTGTAAGCTAACCACCCTCCCCTCCCCCCTCCGATCACCGCTTGCAGAGGCAATAAAGTCATTGTTGCTTCACATTCATGCATTCTTTATTAATTCATCACACAAATAGGGGGATAACTGCCAAGGTAGCCCGGGAGGGGTGAGAGAGGAGGGAAGCACCAGGTAGGGTGGGGGAGGAGGGAAAGACAAGGCCACACTGCACTTTAAAACTTAAAAACTTTAAAATTTATTGAATGCCAGCCTTCTGTTGCTTGAGCAATCCTCTGGGGTGGAGTGGCTGGGTGGCCAGAGGCCCTCCCACCGCGTTCTTGGGCGTCTGGGTGAGGAGGCTATGGAACTTGGGGAGGAGGGCTGTTGGTTACACAGGGGCTGTAGCGGCAGTCTGTGCTCCTGCTGCCTTTCCTGCAGCTCAACCATACGCTGGAGCATATGAGTTTGATCCTCCAACAGCCTGAGCATTGACTCCTGCCTTCTGTCAGCAAGCTGACACCACCTATCATCTTCAGCCCGCCACCTCTCCTCGCGTTCATATTGTGCTTTCCTGCACTCTGACATTGTCTGCCTCCACGCATTCTGCTGTGCTCTGTCAGTGTGGGAGGACAGCATGAGCTCAGAGAACATTTCATCCCGAGTGCGTTTTTTTCACCTTCTAATCTTCGCTAGCCTCTGGGAAGGAGAAACATATGCAGCTGGTGGAGGAAAAAAAAGGGAGAGGGGTATTTAAAAAGAAGAATGGGTTTATAGTTTATAGAACAATGGGTACACTCTTTCACGGTAAACCTTGCTGTTAACATTACATAGCACATGTGTTTTCGTTACAAGGTCGCATTTTGCCTCTTACTGAGGGAGGGCCTGCCAGTTTGGTGTGAGAGATCACTCATGCAGGGCCGCGCAACAGAACTCGGCTTGCAGGCAGCCATGATAAGCCACAGTGTTTTGGCTTCTTTAACCTTCATAACATGTGGGAATGGTTTCAAACAGCAGCCCGCGCTCATTTCCCATACCAAGCAGCCATTGGGTTGGCCATTTAAAATGGGTTGGCAGTTTAAAAGGAGGGGCTGCGGTTTCCGGGTTAACGTGCAGCACAAACCCAACTAACCCCCCCACACACACTCAATTCTCTGGGATGATGGCTTCACCCCTCCCCCCACCGTGTGGCTAACAGCGGGGAACATTTCTGTTCAGCCACAGGCAAACAGCCCAGCAGGAACGGGCACCTCTGAATGTCGGCTTAATAAAACCACCCTATTTCAACATGAATGATATCACTCTCCTGAGGATAACACAGAGAGATAAAGAACGGATGTTGTTTGAATGCCAGCAAACACCGGGACCATACGCTGCAATGCTTTGTTCTGCAATGATTCCGACTATGTGCTACTGGCCTGGCGTGGTAAATTGTCCTACCATGGAGGACAATAAGGCTGCCCTCCCCAGAAACCTTTTGCAATGGCTTTGGGAGTACATCCAGGAGAGCTTTATGGAGATGTCCCTGGAGGATTTCGCTCCATCCCCAGACACGTTAACAGACTTTTCCAGTAGCTGTACTGGCCGCGAATGCCAGGGCAAATTAATAATTAAACATGCTTTTAAACCATGTCTAATATTTACAAAGGTACACTCACCAGAGGTCCCTTCTCCGCCTTCAGGGTCCGGGATCCCGCCTTGGGTGGGTTCGGGGGTTACTGGCTCCAGGTCCAGGGTGAGAAACAGATCCTGACTGTTGGGGAAACCGGTTTCTCCGCTTCCTTGCTGTGAGCTATCTTCAACCTCCTCCTCATCATCTTCCTCGTTCCCAAAACCCGCTTCCATGTTGCGTCCTACTCCACTGATGGAGTCAAAGCACAGAGTTGGGGTACTGGTGGCTGAACCCCCTAGAATGGCATTCAGCTCATCATAGAAATGGCATGTTTGGGGCTGTGACCCGGAGTGGCCATTTGCCTCTCTGTTTTTTTGGTAGGCTTGCCTGAGCTCCTTAATTTTCACGCAGCACTGCTGCAAGTCCCTGTTATAGCCTCTGTCCTTCATGCCCTTGGAGATTTTTTCAAATGTTTTGGCATTTCATTTACTGGAACGGAGTTCAGCTAGCAAGGATTCGTCTCCCCATACAGCGATCAGATCCCATACCTCCTGTTCGGTCCATGCTGGAGCTCTTTTGCGATTCTGGGACTCCATGGTCACGTCTGCTGATGAGCTCTGCATGGTCATCTCTGCTGATCAGCTCGCCACACTGGCCAAACAGGAAATGAAATTCAAAAGTTCACAGGACTTTTCCTGTCTACCTGGCCAGTGCATCTGAGTTAAGAGCGCTGTCCAGAGCGGTCACAATGGAGCACTCTGGGATAGCTCCCAGAGGCCAATACTGTCAAATTGCGTCCACAATACTCCAAATTCGAGCCGGCAAGGCCGATTTCAGCACTAATCCCCTCGTCGGGGGTGGAGTAAAGAAATCGATTTTAAGAGCCCTTTAAGTCGGAAAAAAGGGCTTCATCGTGTGGACGGGTGCAGGGTTAAATTGAGGTAACGCTGCTAAATTCGACCTAAACTCGTAGTGTAGACCAGGCCTAAGACTCTAAAATGTTCCCCTTCTGGTCCTGAAGGCTGCTACATATTTATACTGAGTTCCTCACTAAGTCCAAATGCAAAGATTCCCATTGACATCAGTATGCTTTGGATCAGGCCTGGCTAAACTGTGGGTTCCATAATTTATTTTAGGTCACCGATGAAAACTTTCCCCCCCTTTGTTTCTTTCTGTAAAAATAGAGATACTGAAAATAAGCAGTTTAAGGTGCTTTGTGTTCCATTTGGAGAGTTCTACTTTAAAATTATGTGTGCCATCCTTCTGCCACCAAAAAGAAAAGAGAAAATAAAATAAACACATCTAAAATTATCTTCAGCAGGAAAACCACCTGAGACAGAGGGGAGAACAATGTAAAAGACCGGGAGCTTGGTGTAAAGGATCTGAGATTTCCTCTGAAGACTTAAGTGAGTTTAACATAGATAAACAATGGAAGGCTGGATCATCATCTCTACTACAAAAAGAGGTAACACTGTGTTCATATCTAACATGGAATCACCAACATTAGTTGATTTCTTTTATATCTGTTTCATTTTTTCAGAATCTTATAAAGATCATTAATCAAGAAATAAATTTGTACTTTAAAATTTTGTATTTATTACCCTATTTTGTGTTAATGCACAAGAACTCTCTAATTTACTAGTCATAGAATCATAGAAGATTAGAGTTGGAAGAGACCTCAGGAGGTCATCTAGTCCAACCCCCTGCTCAAAGCAGGACCAACCCCAACTATATCATCCCAGCCAGGGCTTTGTCAAGCCAGGCCTTAAAAACCTCTAAGGATGGAGATTCCACCACCTCCCTAGTGCTTCACTACCCTCCTAGTGAAATAGATTTTTCCTACTATCCAACCTAGACCTCCCCCACTGCAACTTGAGACCATTGCTCCTTGTTCTGTCATCTGCCATCACTGAGAAGAAGCCTAGCTCCATCCTCTTTGGAACCCCTCCCCCCACTTCAGATAGTTGAAAGCTGCTATCAAATCCCCCCTCACTCTTCTTTTCTGCAGACTAAATAAGCCCAGATCCTTCAGCCTCTCCTTATAAGTCATGTGCCCCAGCCTCCTAATCATTTTCGTTGCCCTCTGCTGGACTCTCTCCAATTTGTCCACATCCTTTCTGTAGTGGGGGGCCCAAAACTGGATGCAGTACTCCAGATTTGGGCTCACCAGTGCCAAATTGAGGGGAATAATCACTTCCCTCGATCTGCTGGCAATACTCCTACTAATGCAGCCCAATATACCGTTAGCCTTCTTGGCAACAAGGGCACACTGTTGATCATATCCAGCTTCTTGTCCACTGTAATCAAGTCCTTTTCTGCAGAACTGCCGGTTAGCCAGTTGGTCCCCAGCCTGTAGCTGTGCATATGATTCTACCATCCTAAGTGAAGGACTCTGCACTTGTCCTTGTTGAACCTCATCAGGTTTTTTGGCACAGTCCTCCAATTTGTCTAGGTCACTCTGGACCCTATCCATATCCTCCAGCGTATCAACCTCTCCCTCCAGCTTAGTGTCATCCACAAACTTGCTGAGGGTGCAATCCATTGTATCATCCAGATCATTAATGAAGATGTTGAACAAAATCGGCCCCAGAACCAACCCATGGGGCACTCCGCTTGATACCTGCTACCAACTAGACCGAGCCATTGATCACTACCCATTGAGCCCGAAGATCTAGCCAGCTTTCTATCCACTTTATAGTCCATTAACCCAATCCATACTTCTTTAACCTGCTGGCAAGAATACTGTGGGAGACCATATCAAAAGCTTTGCTAAAGTCAAGGTATGTCATGTCCACTGCTTTCCCCATATCCATAGAGCCAGTTATCTCATCATAGAAGGCAATCAGGTTTGTCAGGCATGACTTGCCCTTGGTGAATCCATGTTGACTGTTCCTGATCACCTTCCTCTCCTCCAAGTGCTTCAAAATGTATTTCTTGAGGACCTGTTCCATGATTTTTCCGGGGACTGAGGTGAGGCTGACCAGTCTGTAGTTCCCTGGATTCTCCTTCTTCCCTTTTTTAAAGATGGGCACTATATTTGCCTTTTTCCAATCGTCTGGGACCTCCCCCAATCACCACGATTTTTCAGAGATAATGGCCAATGGCTCTGCAATCACATCAGCCAACTCCTCTTCACTCTCGGATGCATTGTATCTGGCCCCATGCACTTGTGCCTGTCCAGCTTTTCTAAATAGTTCTTAACCTGTTCTTTCACCATTGAGGGCTGCTCACCTCCTCCCCATACCATGCTGCCCAGTGCAGCAGTCTGGGAGCTGATGTTGTCCGTGAAGACCAAGGCAAAAAAAGCATTGAGTACTTCAGCTTTTTCCATATCATCTGTCACTAGGTTGCCTCCCTCATTCAGTAAAGGTCCCACACTTTCCCTGACCACCTTCTTGTTGCTAACATACCTTTTATTTGTTTTAATATTTCCCTTAATTATAACTGTTCACCAATGTACTTATTCAGTTTATTTTAAAGCACAATGACTGCATTAAGGGAAAATTGATGCATTGTCTTTTCTTGTGTAGCAGCTTGATGACATCAGCTGTTCTGAAGGCAGCACAGTGGATCTGACAAATCCTGAGGAGCTTCTGAAACAGATCCCTGAGCTGGTGAATTGAATTGATGAAAACAAACCCTTTTTGTTACCCTTCGCATCCTTGCTAGCTGCAATTCCAGTTGTGTTATGAGAGTCCCCAGATATCTTAGTCACATAGGTGTTCACAATTGCATCATAACATCACTAATAAATTTAGCTGCATTCGTTGTATTTAGCTTGAAGTATTCTGTCTCACTGGTGAAGGATAAAGTGGATTTCAGTGAATGGAAATGGCACAATGCTGTATTTCTAAATATTGATATAAAACGTTAATAGGAAGAGAAATAGGCCTGAGTTACTGAAACAATGTGAAATCATTTTATTCAAAAAGATCACTATAAAATTAACATTGCCTACTGTATTTTTCTTGAAATCTGAATTATTGAAATAAAAAGGTGTTAAAAGATTATCCCAGAAAATTCTGGTGTGTCCAGTGTGTTCTTTCTATTTGAATTGGAAGAACTTCAAGTGAATGCTGTATATGTAATCATGAGTATTCTGCTTTGAAAATTGCTCCTTCTGTCAGAGAAAGGAAACATACCATGTGGCCTGTGAGACCAATCAAAACAGCTCAAATTTCAAACACAGAATATTTTAAATGAATTGCTCACAAATAAACTAAAGTCCAATGATTATTCACAGAAATATTTTGGAGAGTAATTTTGAACAATGAATATATACAATTTGGAAACAGTAAAAATAATTGAATAAATTATTAGTTATGAGTTATTCACACATCTCTAGTGGTGTGATATCCTAAATATACTGAAATAAGATGGAAGTCTATACCAGTTGTGATGGGGCAAGGCCAGATGGCTTCAGGAAAGTAGTGAGGAACAGGTATGTTAGCACCAGGCTAAACAAATCCCTGGTACCATGGTAACCAAATGGCAGTTGCTCCAGGTTAATCAAGACACCTGGGGCCAATTAAGATCCTTCTAGAAGGCAGTGGAGATAGCTAGATTGATTGGGACACCTGAAGCCAATCAAGGACTGGCTGGAACTAGTTAAAAGCCTCCCAATTAGTCAGTGTGGTGTGGGTGTCAGGAGCTATAGGAGGGAGCTGTGCTGTTGGAGGAATGAAGTAGTATGAATCCATATCAGGTGCAAGGAAGGAGACCCTGAAGTAATTGTGAAGAAGATATTGAGTGGGGGCTGCTGTGGGGAAGTAGCCCAGGGAATTGTACATGTCTTATTTCCAAAAAGTCAGCTTCCATAGCTGCTAATTTTAGGGTCTCTGGGCTGGAGCCCGGAGTAGAGGGTGGGCCTGGGCTCCCTCCCTGATTAATCACTGATACTGGGAGACAACAGAGACTGTGCCGAGGGGGTTGTTTCTCCTCACCTCCCTTGCTGGCTACTGATGAAAATGGCTCAGTAGACTGTGACCCTTGTCTCTAGAGAGAGAAGGGCTATGTGGAGGGTCACAGTGAGCCTCTGAGGTTAGCAAAATCTGTCAGGAAACGCAGGACCCACCGAGCCAAGGACAGAACTTTGTCACACAGTAAAGAATACATGATGTGATTACATATTCTATTTCATGTAAACTGCCATGGGCATTTCATAGGTTCATTCTGAACAGAAAGTTTTAGAGCTCTACAAAGTAGTCCTTTGATGAAATTGTATTTTCATGTTTTGCCTTCTCTATTTTTGTCATGTGTTGTCCTCTGTTTTAATTGTTTTCAGCCCTAGCTAGTAGAGGGTTTTAAAGCCTATCCATGTTTGAAAACCACATGTACTTAAATGCAGAAAAATTGGAATCATTCCCATTTGTGAGCTTTACTACAGTGATTAATCTGGTTCCTTTAAATATAACTTTGACTTCTGTTTGAATTGATGTGGAGATATTTCAGGGATCACATACACTGTAAAGCAGGAGGCCGTTCCAGGACTGCCATGTTATTAATAAGTACTGTACCCAACTAAGTTTTATTTGTTTTAATATTTCCCTTAATTATAACTGTTCACCAATGTACTTATTCAGTTTATTTTAAAGCACAATGACTGCATTAAGGGAAAATTGATGCATTGTCTTTTCTTGTGTAGCAGCTTGATGACATCAGCTGTTCTGAAGGCAGCACAGTGGATCTGACAAATCCTGAGGAGCTTCTGAAACAGATCCCTGAGCTGGCTGAATACTTAAAGAAACCTGATAACTGTTTTCCAGAAGGTAAGGATCTGCTGATTTCAGTATGACTAGGAAGTAAGAAGAACAGCCCACAGTAACCTGTTCTCCTAGCTAATGCTGAGACACTCATGCACTCAACACCAAGGCACTCTGTCTATTTGCAGAGTATTTAATGCTAAAAATACTTTAATAATACATAATTACGTAATACTTGTGTATCACTTTTCATCCATAGATCTTAGTAATAGTGAAAACATATGAGAAATAGGCAGAGAGAACTTGTTAGTGTTTGGTTGAATTTCTCTAGAATGGTAAGTCTGGAGGCCCACTTTAAATTGCTGTATAGCTTTTAGCTTTACAAGTTTATTTCATGCCAATATTTGTGCTCAATGCGTTTTTAAATTTTCAAAGCTGGCTCCTTCTAGTGAAAACTATCCATAGCAAGATTATTGTGGTTGTCGCTAGAGGAAAAGTTAAATTTATTAACATTTCCTTCAAACCCTTATATCAATTATTACTCTGAACAAAAGATGGTCTCCCCCTGTCTGTAGTAGATGTAATGGTGTACCACATGTCAACAAGGTCAGTTCACAGTTGGATTAATTTCCTTCTAGGTTACAATTCCATATAGCTATAAAGGAATAGAGTTCCTGGATAATTAACTTTTTGATTTTAGAAAGCCTGACAGTATTCAGATCCCTTTTCCACAGCGTTCTCGCTCCTTGTCACTTGCATTAGCTGACATGCTGTTTCTTCCTACTGGCTGGGGAGCACTATCATAGGGTGTCTAGATATCCAGATAGGGAGAATCAGATGAGACAACCAGCTATAGCACAAGACCATTCCCATCTATTCCTCAGCAAAAGGAGTTTATTGAAGAGCAAGAGATGGGACCAGATGAGGAAACACCACCACCAGCAACTATGTCTTACTCTTTGTCTGATGAGACAAGAATGCCTTCTCCTCTTGCCTTTTGAGATGACTTCAGACATTTCAAGAGAGTAGCTGAGATTTTACAAATTTCATTGGAGGAGGTTCAGGAAACCCACCATCAACTGGTATTTATACTCCACGCCATTCCCTAAGGCAAAGTAATTCCACCAATAAGTGAAGCCTTTCTTGAACCACCTAAAACATCCCCCAGCGACTGCACCTCCAATCTGCAAGAGTGCAGACAAAAAATGTCTGTGAAAGAGACAGAATACCTATTTGCACACCCAACGCTGAATTTGTTGGTGATGGATGCTCTGAATGAGCTAAATAAGCAACACCACTCCAAGACTATCTCATGCTAAGGACCAGAAATGTTTGAATTTATTAGGCTGAAAGAGTTATTTTTTTGGCTTCTCTGCAATTTAGAGTGGCAAATTATCAAGCTCTCATTGCTAAATACAATTATCTCAACAATAATAATTCACATCCTTTTATTGAATATTTTAGTAACAAAAAAAAGAGTTTTAGGCAATTATTGTGGAGGGTCAGCTTATTTCCAAAGCATCACTGCAAGCTTAATTGGATGTGGCAGTTAGTGTCCTGCTGTATGGCAACAGCACTAGTGATAAACTGGGCACTGCGGCTGCAATCCTAAAAGAGGTCCAGAATACTGTGTAGAATATCTCATTTGATGGAACAAAACTGCTTAGTGATACCATGGACAAACCTCTCCACTTGCAGGAGTCAGGAAAGGATTTTTCCTTATTATGTTAGTTTATCTCCTCCCTCTGAAGCATCAGGGATGGCCACGGCTGAAGACGGGACATTGGAAAGGGAGCGCCAAGACTCTGAGGTTGCACTGAGCACTCTCTCTCTCAGGTGCGTGCCTGGTGGGTTCTTGCTGACATGCCCAGGGTCTAATTGATTGCCATACATGGAGTCAGGAAGGAATTTTCCTCCAGGTCAGATTGGCAGTGTCCGTGGGGTTTTTTAACCTTCCTCTGCAATGGGGTGTAATGGTAATTTGCCAGCATTAATTGGGTATATCTCAGTTAATCATTTCCCTGCCACTGCAGGGGCCTTAGGCATTGGTGCACCTTGGTGCCTCCTATTTTCTGCCTGTGGCACATAATAGTTTAGTCTCCTTTGGGCAGTAATACTTTGGTCTAATTTCTGTTGTTAGATTGTGGGCACTGGGTGGCGTTGATGGCCTGTGATATACGGGAACTCAGACTAGGTAACCTGATGGGTCCCTTTGGCCTCAAACCATGATTGTGACACTTTTTTTTTTTAGGGCAATGCTTCCTTCACTCAGAATTTATACTCCTGCTAACAAAAGAAAATACAGCAGGTCACAGGCATACCAAATCTCATCCAGTTCAATTTCCAACCTATCACAGGGCATCGTAGCCACCTAGAAAGATATCTAAGTTCCAGAAGAATAGACCTTCCACCTCTGCAACTGCAACAACACAGTCTTCCACATCTGGCAAGCACTCATTTTGTATGCAGTGTTGTTGTAGCTGTGTCAGTCCCAGGATAATAGAGAGACAAGATGGGTGAGGTAATATCTTTTATTGTACTAACTTCTGCTGGTGAGAGAGATGAGCTTTCAAGCTACATAAAGCTCTTCCTCAGGCAGTTGGTGACCCGAGGAAGAGCTCTGTGTAGCTTGAAAATTTGTCTCTCTCACCAGCAGAAATTGGTCCAATAAAAGATATTACCTCACCTCACATTGGTTGAGAGCTGTGAACCACTTCACTGTTTGGATTTACAGCTGCATTACCCTTCTACTTCACTCTTCCCACCATTTGGAGGCCATCTTTCCCTTTACAAAGACTCATGGGAAAGTTTATATCAGACAAATGGGCATTAGAAGTGATAATCCATTCCTCCACCCCACCCACTTTCCTTGTCCCTTTTCAGGGACCCCCCTCACAAGAAGCTTTTTAAGAAAGGAGGTAGAATCTCTTCTACAACTAGAAGATCTAGAACCAGTTCTATTCCCCTATGTGGGAAGGGTTTTTTACTCAAAATGCTTCTTAGTGTCCAAGAAGGTAGGGTGGAGACCTATTTTGGACTTCAGAATACTGAACACCTTCATCAAGACACAGATTCAGGATGGTTACCTATGCAGCAACAATAACAGTAGATCCAAGGGACTGGTTTGCAGACCTTGACCTCCAGAATGAATATTTTCTTATAGCGAAGTGATTGACCATGATCACTTTCAGCATTGTGTACTTCCATTTGGCTTTTTGATTGTCCCCAAGGTTTTCATGGAAGTTCTATCAGTAGTAGCAGCCTACCTAAGATATTTAGGAGTTCAAGTCTCCCTTTACCTAGATGACTGGCTCCTCAAGGTTGATCTTATGACAAAGTACAGTCAGCAATAAACAAGGCAATAACCTTATTCAAGACTCTAGGGTTAAAACTCAACAAAGGAAAGTCAACTTTGATACCCATTCAGCTCATTGAGTTTATAAGAACCAACTTGGACTCCAAAACTGCCAGAGGTTACTTATCAGGGGACAGGTTTGATACAAAGTCAAGCCTCATTTTCCAACTGCACTTGAGTCCACACAAAACAGCAAGTACATGTTGAGTTGTTATGGCTACATGTACATTTGTAACACCTCATGCCAGATTGCATCTTCAATGCCTTAAAACATTGTTAAAGAGTGCTTATATACCCAAAAACATAGTCTGAACAGGTCACTGTGAGTTTCTTAGAGGGTTCTTGACTTGCTCAGTTGGTGGAAGGATCCAAAAAAGGTGTGCATTGGAGTACCTTTTATTCTTTCCCACTCACCTTACCCATGCAGACTATAGTGACAAATGCCTTTGTAATATTCTGGGGTGCTCATCTTCTGGACCATGTGATCAGAATCATGACAGATGACAAGGAGACCATAATTTACATAAATCACCAATGAGGAATGAGATCTTTCTCCCTATGTACAGAAGCAGGAAAGCTAGAGAATTGGTGCATAAACCATCAGATTACCATTTTGTCTGTATACTTACTGGGTCTGCAGAACACTACAGTAGACAAAGTAGACATTTCCTGTGGGATCACGAATAGTAGCTGAACCATTCAGTGTTTTACAGAATATTTGCTAGCTGGGTACTGTTTTAGGGGAAGTCTAGGTCACAGTTTTGTAGAGGATGAATTCCTCATAACATGGTGTGGGAGCTTGGCTTATACCTATTCTCCCATTCGGTGTTGCTTTTGAAGGTACTGAAAAAGATAAAGAAAGAAAAGGTGAGAGTCATTCTTATAGCACCAGCATGTCCAAGACAACTATAGTTCCCAGACCTTATTAATGTCTTAACTGTCACTTCATTTGCCATTGATGCCCAAATTGCTGACTCAGGACTCTCCATTCCAGTTTTAGAATCATAGATTAGGGTTGGAAGAGACTTCAGGAGGTCATCTAGTCCAACCCCTTGCTCAAAGCAGGATTAATCCCCAACCAAATTCCCAAATGGCCCCCTCAAGGATTGAACTCATAACCCTGGAATTAGCAGGCCAATGCTCAAACCACTGAGCTATCCCTCCCCCTCATCTGAGCCATCTCAAAATATGTTTGCTAAGCATAGAGATGAACTGTACTGCAGAATTGCAAAACACTGGTGAACAGCAGAAAACCATCCGCAAAGAAATCTTACCTTGAGAAATGGAAGAGGTTTCAGTCTCTATGTATATGTGGCGGCTTTTCTCCTTCCAATTCTGAATTACCACATTTATTATATTACCTTTGGAGCTTAAAGATCTTTTAAAACCAGTGATCACCTAGTCTGATTTCCTATGTAACACAGGCAGTAGAACATCCCCAAAATAATTCCTTGAGCACATCTTTTAGAAAAAAACAATTTTGATTTAAAAATTGTCAATGATTGAGAATCCCTCATGATCCTTGATAAATTGTTTCAATGGTTAAGTACTCTCATTGTTCAAAATTTACATGTTATTTCCAGTCTCAAATTGTCTAGTTTCAAATTCCAGCCATTGGATCATGTTATACTGTTCTCTGCTAGATAGAAGAGCCCATTATTAAATATTTGTTCCCATGTAGATACATATACACTCTAATCAAGTCACCCCT